TTGTTCCTTTGCGACGGCCGATTCTTTCTATGGTGAAGTCTATGCAGCACAAATTGACACAATGGTAGGCTGTTTTGTTACGACCAGTACTTGAAATGTATATCGTTAACTGTGTTAGGGATTCGTTTACATTTGATAACTTTTTACAGTATCGTCCCTTAAGTTCCGATGGCAAGTTTAAATGATTCTTTGACATCAGGTGTTTGTTTACATGTGTTATTCTTCAGGTGACCATTGATAATTTGCGTATCTTTGTATCTTAGTCATTTGTCCCCTCTACCTTGTATTCCAGAAGCTGGATTCATGGAGTTGATGAAATTTGCTACCATGTGTTGAATTCAGTTTAAATTTGCTACCATGTGTTGAATTCAGTTTAAAAATTCAAGTAAATATCTGTGAATATCTACAGGGTGTCCCCCTAAAAATAACAGGAAATTTTAGATTTACTATATGATGAAAAAAGTTAACAAAGATATTAAAAAATTAAATTTTATAGTTTCAACACGACATCTAGAATTTGTATTTTTATTCTGTTTTAAGCTACTAAATTTGTATCGTTTGCTTTTGTTCCAAATAACTGTAACAAAAATTCCAACAATGAAATAAACTATACCAAATTTCCTGGGTTTTGTGAGGCACCCTGTATGAGTATCCCATAAGGACCGGTGATAGATAATATTTTTAATAAGATATTCAATCTTAATAAAATATTCTTGTGTTAAAAGACCCAACTGTTATTTTCGGCATGTCTATTACACTTTCTGTGCATTTGATAATTAGGTTGAGACTGGGATGTTTCTTTAAACACTAATCGAATAACACACAGTTTTACAATTTACTAGTGAAAAGGAGAACTTTGTTCGATGTTTCAGTGCACCAACCGGATTAGTGTACCATAAACCAACTATCACTGTTTTGTATTCAGAAACTGAATTTGTCAAGAAAGTTTTAACTGAAAATGAGTTTTTAGCATTCATGCTAAAATACGACAATTTATAAAACAGAAGTTGATTGTCCCCCAGAGGTGCCCTGTCTATTTACGCATATTCTGGTTCTTTAACTCAAACGAAAGTGATAACTTCGACATTCACAACTCATCAGACAAAAACAAACCTTAATATCGTCAGGTTTTTTCTCCCTTCCGGAATAATGCCCCCCCCCCATACCAGGGTCATAAAATCATCCACGCGGTTTTCGCAGCAGCCGTTTCTAAGCTACTATCTCACAATAAAATCAACGCTGATTTCACCCACGAAGGAAAATCCGACCAGGCTAGCATTAATGACGAAGCCCACGACAGGCAAGCTTAATCAGGCAATCAGCAGCGTCACCAAGGTGCTTCCATCAACGTAAATTCCTTCGGCCAGCGACGAAACCAGTGGCAGCAGCAGAGACTAACTCTCGACTACTGCAATGCGATAATTCGTGGAATATTTATCCCACAAGTTACACTTGACTACATATGCATGTTCATTTTCTCTACGTGTCTATCTTGACTACGACCTTGTGTTATAACCCAACCAACTCTGTTTCCCACGAATGATATACGATAACGCGAAACAAGCAGATGATCGAAACTTTGTAAATCACGGGAAAATAAAAACTCTTTTACTCATCTCAGCCACCTCTTGTCTTATTGTCAGTGTCACTTCTATTTTCTGTTTCTTGTTAACCGTAAGGCCGCCATTACATGTATACCGTGAATTGGTGGTGTTAGTACGAGACTCTCTAAGCACATTTCTTCTAGTGTGAAAGTTTTTTTTTTAATTTGTCTACCCATTGGTTTTATTGCTTTACCAATGTTAAGATCGACTCGAAATGATGTTCTGCCTCCTCACATAGTTTTGTAATTTACCTTTTTAAATGTGAGTGTTACACGACCTATATAGGAAGAAGAAAGTCCCACAGGTTGGAATTAAGAATAATTTAGCATGCTCCAGCCAATATTCGGAAAGAAAAACTGGACAATTTACATAAGTGCATTTGGATCAGCGATAGCTGAACATTTGTAAAATAATTATTGTTTTTTTTGTTGTGTGTGTGTGTGTGTGTGTGTGTGTGTGTGTGTGTGTGTGTGTGTGTGTGTGTGAACTCAACAAAGCCGATTTCTCAAATTTAGCGGATGTACTCCAAACACTCAAATGATAGTTGTAGTCTTTTCCAACTTAAATTTCTCAATCCATTAAAAGTTTGGTAACCGCCCCGATAAATTTATACAATTTTGGTTATGTTTGTTACTTTTATGTGTTGCATCCACATAAGTTAAACGAAGAAAATTACATACTGATCCACATTCCCATGTGCATTTTGTGAGATACATGTAACGGAAATATTCCGCTTTTATTTTTATTTTTTTAATAAGCAATAAATAAAAATTATGAGTTTTTGGTTTTCCCTCATCCGCCATCTTCACAAGATATTACACCTCTGGATTATCATCTATTCCAGTCTTTCCAGAATTCGTGAATGAAATAATAATACACTTTCTTACGCGCAGATTGAGAAAGATAAACATGGGGTCTGGAAGAATGGAATAGTTGCCTGAAAGATGGCAGAATATCGTGAAAGAAAACGGTAAATATTTAAGTTAACTAAGTTAATGTCCATGTCCATAGTCGTCTCGGATGATCTTGGAACTATGTGTTGGCTATTACTTGTACACCATTGGATCCATTTTTCTCCGCGTTTGTTTCGGGTTCCTAGTCCGAATCTTCTTTCTATATCCCCTGCCCTTTCCCTGCCTACTTTGGCATTTAGGTCTCCCATGATAATGATTTCCTGTGATTTGCATAGAGCCTTGACACTGTCCAGCATGGAGTAGAAAGATTCGATGTCCTCCTTTTTGCTCTGTGCCGTTGGTGCGTAAACTACTATAATAGCCACGTTGAACGGCTTCCCTTTCACTTTTAGTTTCTTCGGAAAGTTGGTGGTATCCTAGAAAGCATTTCTGAAATGCACTATCTAGTATTAGTCCTTTGTCGTTCTTCTCTTGAATTATCCTGTGTTTGTCGCTGACGAAATCACCGTTGTTTGGCCATCTGGTTTCACATACACCAAGTTTGTTCATCTCTTGTTTGACATTATCAAACTGGCCGCAGTTGTTCAATGTCCGAACGTTCCATGTTCTGAGAGTTATTTTGTGTTTGATGCGAGCAGTCGCAAGATAACAGTCTGGTGACACATGTCGCTCATGTCGTCCCTTTCCGGGCGAGGGATAGGTTCCAAGAAATTTTATCCCCTTTACGCTTATACTTAACAGGCAGCTGAAGAGGCAGCTAAAGTTTCTGGAACACATAATGAGGAAGGAGGGCCTGGAAAACCTGATACTCAAGTGTCAAATAGAGGGAAAGTGAGACAAGGGAAAGCAGCGCGTGACATACCTGATGAGTTCGAGCAAGTGGATAACAGAACATGGTCTTGGGGGGGGGGAGCAGAGGGAAGGAACTTGCGGAGAGCTACAAGGGACAGAGGGAGGTGGAGAGCTATGATAGCCTACGCCCTGAAAGCACATGACACATAAAAAGAAACAAAGTTAATGTCATGAATAAAAAAATCTGTCCTTTATTTTTACTTCATAAAATAAACGAACTTTTCTGCTAGTATAATAATTGAATTAACTATCCATCCTAATCTGATCTTGAACATGTTACAGTTTATTCATCTTAATCTGTTCACTATTCAAAAAAAAAAAAAAAAAAAAAAAAAAAAAGGTAGAAAAATTTACAAACCATTTTGGTTTGCCAAAAAGAAATAAAAACAAAAAAGATAAGAAAAAAGAAGGAAGAAAAATTGCCAAAGAATCATCATCCCTAAACGTAGATGAAGATACTGTCAAATGAATCACACCTGTGAACCAATCAGGAAGCAAGAGACAATTCAGAAATTAATTCTTTTGTCTCGGAAAAGTGTAAAAAAAAAAATAAATACACAGAGAGACAACCAGACAAAGGAAACCTAGAATCAATAAAATAATTTCATCCGTTCTCCCATACCCCTACCTTATCGAACACCTAAAATTATCAGAGAGTTGAAAGGATTACTTCTTTCAATGAGATACTTACATACATACACATTTACAAGGACTCTTTTCTCTCTCTTTTTATCTTATACAAAAGGACTTAGTCTTTAACACAAGAACTTTCTGATATGAACTCATGAACTCTTTAAATATTGCAGATTTTATTTTAAGTGATATATAAAAATTTTATTAGCGCATACAAAATATATATTTGTGCTAATTATCTTTGCATTCACTTTTATTTTAACAGAACAAAAATTGGTGTATATTGGGATTAAGGACATCCGAAAATAACCACCTGTAAACATACGTATACTCCAAAATATAAGTCAGTTCCCCAAGAGTATATCTAAAAGATAGTGTTATAAGCCATTACTTGTTTTGTTATTGACCATCAATGAATCTTATACTATTAAACATTTCTGTGACACTACTAAAATGCCCATTTTCATTAAAGATAACGATCAATAATAATGTATCAAGGGGAAGTAAACAAAATAACGGCAATTAAAGTTACTTCCCTTGCACTGTAAAATCGAAATGCCTAATGGTAAAAAAAAATATATAAATGATGAAATTTGATTATCTATAAAAACTTGGCCCAGTTGAAAACAAGTGGATGTCATTAAATACGGTAATTGTAGTAGAGTGAAAATAACAACGATTTGAAAATTATAATTGATAACATATGAATATGGTTCTTTGAGATGGAGAGAAATGGAGAGAAATGGAGAGAAATTGATTGAATGATTGATTCGTTTTCTACGGTTTATCAACCCTTTGCGGTTTATTTAAAGCCAAAAATATTTTTAGATTGTAAGAATTCTTTTTTTTTTTTTTTTTTTTGAAATAATAATAGTTTAGTGATACAAGTCTTACTAATTAATCCCTAGCTGGGAGAACAAGCGGATTCATACCTGTTCCAATGGGTATTTGTGCATAGGTAAATATCGTGATTGTTGTGAACAAGATATGCGACATCATGCCCGAAAACACCCACGCATTACATGCGTATGGTGTACCAGAGCAGATGGATGAAGGGAGAATTGGCGGAGTGCGCCTACGCATATGTAAAACTCTCCCACTCAACCAATCGGCTGCTTCGTCATGGTCTATAAAATGAGTATATAAAAAGGCTTTGGCAGTTGAAGCCGAGGGAGCCGACGAGGACGTCGAGAGACGACTGCCCTGTTCCAGCGGGTTCTTTTTGCCGTGATGGCTACAAGCTATTTCGGCAATTATGGCTTTTGATACTAAACTGATACCGCTATTTGATGGAAGTGATTCTGGACAGTAAGTTATGGAGTGGATAGAGAAGGCAGAATTGATATTCCAGCTTAGCGGCGTAAACCGTATTCAATGTGTGGTTCCTATGTGTCTATCGGGTGGGGCATATTCAGTGTACCAGCAGTTGAGTGAAGAAAAGAAGAAAGACTTTACCTGCATCAAAAATGCTTTGTATACGGCATTTGCTCTGGACTCCGTTACAGCTTGAAAGCAATTTGTAGCACGCCGCTTGCGCCCGGGTGAGACTGTCGATGTCTTTTTGGCCGAAAACTTTCAGTTCTGGTCGGTGGAATGACGGATAGAAGTCTGATGTGTGCGTTTATCGCCGGGTTGCCGGAGCATGCCGAGGAATTGCTCCGAGCCTCTTCCCAGTTAGACGATATGGACATTTCACAAGTACTAGATCGAGCACGCGCCATACTAAAGAAAAGTCCTGCAGATATTCAGCAAGCGGCTGTAACTGCACGATCATCGCGTTGTTAGGCGAAGGAAGTTGATGCACCGACAAAATATTGTTTGCGGCGAGCTCAATCACTTCGCACATGAAACATCAAGGAAAGAGAATACTGGACCCCGAAGACCAGTCTCGTGCTATCGGTGTAAGCGGTGGGAACATATGGCCCGAAACTGTCCGGGAAACGGGCAAGGGGACGGGGCTTCGATGCCAGCCTTATCCCCATATCCTCTTTAAATAGAGCGCTATCTACAATGACTGTAATGATCGATGGAATTAGGCGAATGGCTCTTGTGGACACTGGTTGCACCCAAACATTCATACGCAAAGCATGCTGCCAGGCGTGGGAGAAAAAGTAGGTACACGTCTGGGTTGTAGGTGGGAATACCCTTAGGTACTGTGGAGTCGGGGTGGTCCGGCTTCGCATAAGCAACAGACCTTCTATTGATATAGAAGCTCTGGTCGTGGATGAGAAATTACTCGGATTTCACTTGTTGCTTGGGCTGGACGCAATCAAACAGCTAGGTGGGATGTCCATGACTAGCACCGGTGAGGTAAAATTTCCCCAATGTCACAAGCCAATCTATACTGCCATCACCGTCACCGAGCCCGATGTCCAAGTTTGACGCTAACAGACGGATATGGATCATATCGTGGAAGTGGTCCGTTGCCCAGTCGGCAATTACGTTAAAAAACTGGCTGTCAGAATATCCTACGCTTGAGCACCTTCGGGCTGAGTACCACCAAGAGCTGCAAACTTGGATACAAAACAGCTGGCTGCTTCCATACCCTGAAGACGAGCTTGAGCGCCAAAGAGTCTAATTCCTGTAATGGCCGTCCTACAGGAAAACAAACAAAAGGTTCGGCCCGTCATGGACTACCGCGAACTCAAAGAGCATGTAGATGCATACACTGCCAGCGCAGATGTATGTGCACACAAATTAAGAGATTGGCGGCAGCAAGGCTCAGATGTCGCTGTGTTGGACTTGCGCCGGGCCTATTTGCAAGTTCACGTTGAGAAGTCCTTGTGGCCATTCCAGACAGTAGAAATCAAGGGGAAAAGATACTGTCTCACTCGCTTGGGGTTTGGGCTTAACGTGCCACCCCTGATAATGCAGTTCATCGTTAACACCGTGGTTGCGCAAGTTGAGAACATCAACGAAGCTACATCTTCATACATTGACGATGTATTCGTCTATGCGAACATATGTCCTGCATCCCGCGTAAAAGAGCACCTTCAGAGGTTTGGACTTACGTGCAAGGCCCCAAAGCAGTTACGGAGCGGCACACGCATGTTAGGATTGCATGTCTGGGAGGAGCGCAACAAGTAAGCTGCCGACGTTGCCCGATTTACTAACACGTCGAAATATTTTCTCTTTGTTTGGGAAATTGACGGGCCTTTTTTTACGGTGTGCGGCTGGCTACGTATTGCGGCCGCGTTCATAAAGCGTAGAGAAAATGCTGTGACAACTGGATGGGACGATAAAGTACGAGAACCCCCCCCTCCCTTCTGAGCCGGATGTTGGCAAAACGTTTTGCCAGAGTGGCGCAAACAGATCCAGCGCATGGGGACTAGTGCGTTGAAGAACAGGGCGTCACTGTATGGGTGGACGCGAGCTCATTAGCAACTGGTGTCGTCATTGAGTGCGGTGGAGCCGTGGTAGAAGATGCTAGTTGGCTGTGATCAATAACTGAGGATAAGCACATCAACTTGGCAGAACTCGACGCAGTGCTACAGAGCATCAAACTCGCACTGCAGTGGAAAGCAAAGGTGTTTCACCTGAAGACAGACTCGGCGTGCGTGCATCGCTGGGTCTCAGACACGTTGTCCGGAAAGTCGAGTGTACGAACCAAGGCTGCCACCGACATGCTGGTCAGATGCCGGCTCGGCACGCTTCGACATCTGGCCTCAGAATATGAGCTGAAGATTGACGTGGCATTGGTTAAGTCTCATGATAACCGGGCCGATCAGCTCACTATAGTGCCGCAGCGATGGTTCGATGATATTCAGAAAGAGACGGAACCTGTAGAACAAGCGTGCGCTGTGGCTGCAGAAGGCGAGGAGTCTGCTCGTATACGAACCATTCATCAGTCTAGTGGACACCCCGGTGTGAAGCGCACACTGTACTTTGCAAAATTGGTCATCCCCGGAGTTTCAGAGTGACTTTTCGGGCGGTAGTCAGGGATTGTAGGGAATGTCCATCCATAGATCCTGCCCCAGTGCATTGGAAGCCAGGCAGGCTTTCTGGACGCAACAATTGGAGCAGAATGGGAATGGATGGGACCCATTTCAGAGGCCAGCACTAACTAACGCTGATAGACTGTGATCCTAGTCGGTTTGCCATTTGGAGGCCATTGCAGCGCCAAGACTCCACCAATACCATTCGGCAGATGGAGACAATCTTTTTCGAAAGAAGACCGCCGATTGAACTGCTTACCGATAATGCTGCAGTGTTTTGTGGGGAAAGATTCACAAGACTTGCGAAGGAATGGGGCGTCCGGATAAGATGTGCCCACGTATCATCTGGGAATGGGATAGTAGAAAGATTCCACCACACAATAAAGCGCATCACCGCGAGAACACAATGCTCTCTTATGGAGGCAGTATACTGGTATAAAGGGACACCACAGGACGACATCACTGTTTCAACAGCGCCAGCCAACTTAATTTATACCTACCACACTCGCGTGAAGGGCATTGATACCACACCACCGCCTGGCGTTGCAGGTTCTGGAACATACACTACAGGAGATGTTGTTTGGGTGAAGAGACCGCATGGGCGGTGTACAACAAGGTTCGAGAAGAGAACAGTGACAAAAGTCTATGGCCCTCATTCAGTCCTTGTAAACGGAGTACCACGCCACCTAAAAGACGTTCGCCGGGTGCGTGGGGTTTGAGACTACCAGCAGCCATGATACCACCTCAGATGAAGAAACCACTATAGTGTATGAGGGGCAGATGCAACGGAAAGTGCAAGTGGCATCCTCGAACGAGATCAACTCAACGATATGGCAGAGGAAAGTACAAATGAGGAAATAGCCGAGCTCGCTCCACTGAAAGGAAGTAGCAGGATAAAACAACCCGCACCGCGCTGCCATTTGTGTGATCCTCAGATCAGGGAGGAGTGTGATTGTCGTAAGCATGATACGCGACATCATGCCCGAAAACGCCCACGCATTGCATGCGTATGGTGTCGCAGAGCAGTTGGAGGAAGGGAGAATTGGCAGAGTGCGCCTACGCATATGTAAAACTCTCCCACTCAACCAATCGGCTGCTTCGTCATGGTCTCTATAAAATGAGTATGTCTGAAGGCTTTGGCAGTTAGGAGCCGACGAGGACGTCAAGAGACGACTGCCCTGTTCCAGCGAGTCCTTTTTTGGCATGACGGCTACAAATATAACGAACCCAAATGTAATTGAAACTCTGATCTCCGATTAACAATGTCGAACTATTACCAATTACACCACCCGCCCATCTAAACTTACAGCACCTGGTATCCCCAAGCGGTCACCCATCTAGGTACTGACCATAGTCAACGTTGCTTAACTTTCAATGTAATGTGGCCGTAAGCCTTATTGAGAACGATAGTTGTATATATGCATGTCATTTCATTTTAAACCAAAACGTTTACTGTGTTAGAAAGATAAAAACTCGATAAACAGAAATGGACAATAAAGTCAACAGCAGGCCAGATTTTATGGAGGAGAAAGAGGTGGAGGTTTTCAATTCTGTTTTTTTTTTTTTTTTTTTTTATAATGAATGTGGAATAAAATAATAAAATATTATTATTGATTAACGTAAAAAAATAATTTGACTTTCTTAAGTAAAAGTGATTTTTTTCGCTGTTAGTGTTAACTATATTGAACAATTGTTTTGTTCCACTTGCCGTAAGGCAACTTCACAATTCTATCTACAAGAAAGAACTGAATTAGCCGTCTTTAACAGTCTGCAAGAAAACTTATTTATTTATTTATTTGGAATATTATGCTTTTTGTTTTTTTAAGTAATTTCATTGATTATTACCTTCAATTAGTCTAACTGGGAACAGTACTTATTCGAAGCAATCACTTCGTTTGCCAGAAGAAGCATATATTAGAGAACCCAATTCCAATCGAATCATACAAATAACATCACTTCCTTTAGATGAAAACCGATTTTTAAGTTTTGTGATGCTTCATTTTTCTTGCCTACGATCTGTTAAAGTAACCACTTTTTATCGAGATTCAGTTTTTTACAAAAATGGATCATTTCCTTTATATTTAAAAAGCGAATTGCAAACGGAAGCCACACATCAAAATAACTAATATAACCAAACGATTGAAAATGTATAAAATATATATATTTATACATATAAAAAAGAAATGTAAA